TGGTCAGGGGACTTACCCATAAAATTTCAGCTTCCTAGCCTTCGTGGTTCCCGAGATATTGATTTTGCCCGCCAAAGCATTTACGAGGCCGTAATTGTTACCCGCGGGTACGAGAAGGCTGAATTCAGATTTTCCACGTAACAGACTGGCGGGGAACACTATACTAAAATCTTAGCCGCCTAGCTTTTTTAGTTCCCGCGTTGAAAGTAAGGGACAAAATGTGGGACAAAAACACACACACACACACACAGACAACCTCATAACAATATGCGTTTTGTACTGCTGTTACAGAGCACAAAACGCATAAAAAAGACAGTAGCGAAGACAACGAAAAAGTTAAAGAGACAGTGAAGTGGTCTGTCATTTAAGAAATGGTGCAAGATATCACCGCAGCTACAACAAAAATTGAAATGCTCAAGAGTTGACTGCCGTTAAATAGTGAATGCCCTGCATTAAAAAATGAGACTACACGAAAAAAGACAATTCGAGCGACACTGTGATATGAAGCGTTTGGAAATGGTAGGTAGCGGATGAAGGAATGCAGCTCAAAACGGAAAAGCGTGGTGCAGTCATGCAGCGAATAGGCATACATTTCAGTGAGTGCATCCTGCTGTCAATTTCGGGATTTGAGCCAATAAATATTAGCAAGATTTTCCACTCTTAGGATGGCGGTTGTAAGTTGCAATACTCCAGTAATATACTACGGTTTTGAGATGATGTGAGGGATATTGCAGCAGAGGCCAGAATGAAAAGCTGGACTGTTCATTTGATAAAAAAGAGAGGCAACAGTGAACAAAGTGGAATTTTTAATGGTATCAGATGTTAATCCAGGAAAGACCAACAACGTGTTGGAAAATCAGCTCGAAAATCCATGTGGAATTACGAGGATCAGAGAAGCTGAAAATAGCGGCTGTCAAGAACAACGGCAAAGAAACAACAGTTGATTGAAGTATCCTATAAACGTGAATCTTTTGATAAAAATACTGGAGTTTCGTGAACAGAATTGCTGTTAAGACTAATATTTTCATGTGCCTGCTTTTTGCCTAGCTGAATCTTTTTACGGTTAACTTTGCTAACTGGTAAAAAAAAAAAAATTAATTTGAGCTTTAACGAGAGTTTTGCTGACCTTTTCGCTCTCTGCATTTTCCTACTACCTAAAGCTTCCTACTTCCTAAAGATAAAAGTAGTCAAATTCAAATTCTGATTCTCATGGAATTTGTCAGGTACACACTGTAAATGTTGAACTGATAGGGTTTGGGGAAGTTTAATTCGAAGATTATCGCCCAGCCAGGAGTTTAGAAAACTTACCAAAGACGTAGAAACGTTGTGTTAGTAAGAACACCAGCGGTTTATAATTAACGGCATCCACAACTAAGTACTTCCATGTCTGGATAGTTCTTGATAACAATTTTGCCCTCCACATCGATATACAGGATCGCCAACGATTCCATTTCCGTTGGAACACAACACGGCGCCGGCACTAAACTTGCATCCACCGAATTGATTAGACTCTGTACTATGGCGTGATTGGTGGTGTTGAAATGACTGGTCAGTGGATTCGGACACTCGCCCTGGCATTGATAGGCTTTGTAGCTTGCTGCAAATAT